CAACAGTGAACGAGTGAGACACATGATGCTGGGCTGATGTTGTGGCGTTCACTGTGACGTTCGCTGCGCCAACTAGCGTTGGGGTATCTGAAGTTGGTTCATAACCCGAATTTTAGCTTGCAACTCAAAGCAAAAAATTGGCCAAGAGACGGCTCGTATCTTGAAAAACTCGTTAGTCGGGACACTCGTAAGTCAAGGCCCCACTGTACTTCTTCCTTCTCTGCCCACAGGGGCCAGGATTTGAGAACCAGGGCCTCCAGCCACCGTGATGTGATGGGAGAGGCAGCGGATGGGACAGGAGAGTTGAGGGCTGGACGATGGAGACAGACTATGACTTACGGGCCTCGGGAAGTGCCACCTGCCCCTCAGGGCCTGGCTCCCCAAGGCAACTAGATGATGGGCAGTGACGTGCTGTGGTTCAGGGCACGGACCTGCATGAACCCCAGGCCTGGCCCAGGGACCTGTGGGAAATGACGTTTCCTCCTGAGCTCCGGCTTTCTCATCAATGCAGTCGGAGTGTTTACAGTGACGCAGCGCCGTGAGCGGAGGTCGTGAGTGTTGGGTGAGGTCGTCATGGGAAGAGCGACATGATGCCGGCTGCCCGGCACGGGAGAAGCCCTTGATGAGAACTAGCTACGGCTATTATTCTACCTGTTCATCGTGGACCAATAAGCCACTGCTGTACAGGACAAGCACCGGAATGTTTCATTCTAAGGGGCGCAGCTAAATGTTTAAGCGGGTGCCTGGAAGGGACTGTCCCAAAGCTAATGAAACGGCGCCACAGTCAGTCTGGGAAGAACAGGGCACAGAGCAGGGGGGAAGGGGGGGCGGGGGGAGAAGGCGGGGACTCTGAACAGTGCGCTGAGCCTCTCAGAATGGTCACGAGATGCCGAAGCGACCACTGCAACAAGAATCCACAGAGAAGATGCGGGCACTCTGGAGGTGAGTCGGGGATGCAAATAAGAATTGGGGAAAATGGTCAGAAAATGTCACCTTCTGAAAAAAAAAACGGGAAAAAGTCAAATTAACCACCCATGCTGCCTGCTGGCTTTTTTCACCTTTTTTTTTTTTTTTAGCATATTCATAAGTGTGGACATCTAGTGTGCAGTGCACACAGTGCTCGCAAAGCGTGTGGAAGATTTAACCACAGATCAACCACAGACAGCAGAATCATCACAAGGCAAAAAATAAGAAACCATAAAAATTTACTTTATGGTGAATACTACCAGTAGAAATAACTAACAAAAAAAGAAATCAATAATAGCTTAAAAAATGTACATGGTAAAATATTAAATCACCAGGAAAATTTGACTTAGTGGATATAACAGTTCTGTAAGAAAATTCATATTGCAATGTTTGTGATATAAAAAACCAGTTATAAATTTTATGTAGAGAAAGCAATTACTCCAATAAGAATAATTTTAGTAAAATAAAAATGTAAGTGGGAAAAATTGGAAATGGTTTAGCTTTGCCATAGAGAAAATTGACTATGGTCTTAAATCGGTGTAATAGTGTTCTCAGAAAGTATTTTCTTCAACAGAAATCCATTGGTGCTGTTAAAATTGCAATTATAATATTTCTACTGTGAAACACAGAATGAAGAGCCTTTGGGGGGAAAAGTCTGGCAAGTGGAATAGGTGCTGACACCGTCCTATCCCCACGGAACTCCTCTCGGGCCCTGGGCTCTCTGGGCCGGTGCAGACGGGGCTGCCGGCAGGGCCTGTGCCTCCCCAGCACCCAGAGCCACCGAGCCGCCTTCCTAACTCTCTCCTCCAGGGAGGTCCACTCTGAGGCCTAATGTAGGAATCGGTGCGAGATAAACTTTAGTCTTAGAAATACTGATTAGCTCTGTGTACTACAAGAATGCGTTTTGTATGAGAATTTGACTGAAAGAGTAGGGGTGGGAAGATGAGAGAGGAAGGAGGAAGAGGAGGAAAAGAGAAGGAGGAGAGGAAAAGGAGAGGAGGGGGAGGAGAGATGAAGATGGAGGAGGAGGGGGGAGGGGGAGAAGTAAGAGAGAGGGCTGGAGGAAGAGAGGGACAAAGAGAGAGGGAGGGCTAGAGACAGGGAGGAGGGACACACACGCACACACACATACGCACACGTCGCGCTGTCTGGCAGAGGGGTGTTCTAGCCGGTAGCACAAGTGCCCAGTGAACAGTGTTCCGGCTCTGCCACAGCGCAGGCGACTTTGTAAAGTCCACCAGCTTCCTCGGATCCGATTCCACCTCCCCGGCAGGATCACTTCTTGGTGTCAGGGCTACCTTGTCACAGGAGAGCTTCCTAAGTAACTCGCCTTGTTTTGGGAGCCCCACAGCCAGACGAGGTCCCATTTCAGCCCGCGGCTGGCTTCCTGGCTTTCGCTTCCCGAGGAGGGTCGGGCCGGGAAAGACGGTGCACGGTGCACGTGGGCGTGAGCAGAGCAGGGCCGCTGCTTTGCTGCCCGGAGAGGTCCATCTCTGATCGAAACAGAACGCTCTGATCCCACACGGGTCGCTGAGTGTCTGGCTGTCTGAGCAAACTAAAGAAATGGCGTTTCCGAGACTCGTTCCCAAGCAGGACTCCAGGGACCCATCGGGGCCTTCCTGGGCCCCGGCTGCCCTTCTTTGCTGTCTATGTGGTGACAATACAAGTTACCGGGAAAGTTCTTTCAGAAAAACACCGTGTAAGGCGTTTCAGGAGACTTGTCAAGACTGAGACACACAGCCTCCCGCTCACCAGGAGGCTGAAGGCGGAGTGTTCAGATCCTCGGCAAACCTTTACCAACTTACCCAGAGGGCTGACTTCGGGCGGGTATTATGGGCTTCTAGAAGTAGAGGTATACTACAAATAATTAAAATTAATAACCCTAATAATAAAAAGTTTCTGAGTCTCATTTTTCATGTTTTTAGTTAGATAGCACAAAATACATGTGCTAAGATTCCACTGAAACATAATGTTATTTTCCACAGAAACACATGGAGGGCTCGATAGGAAGTATTAGAACCCCCACTACCAGCGCTGCCATCCATTCCTACCACATTGCGGGTTGGTTTTTATGAGAATCTATGTTTGTGGAAGGTGAAGAGAGAACTGGGTGGGGAAAGAGGATAATTTCTCTTAGAAAAGTACTACCATTCTCTGAGCTAACCTGACAAGAACCCTACAGGATGTGTGTCATGGTCCCCATTTACGGATGAGAGCAGGAGGTATGACATTCAGAAGGTGCAGACCAGCCTAGGGTCACACAGCTCAGAGCGGGGAGCTGTCTCACCGTCTCTCCTTCCTTCCTCCTCTCTCCTTCCCCTCTCCCTCCTTTATAGCTTTGGCGGATGTACTGTGTTCTAACTTACACACTGTAATAGTGTAGTTGTGATAGTGTAGTATCCATTACAAATGTGTAGTAGAATGGTTTTAGCAAATTTATTATCACTGCAACCTAATTTTAGATCATTTTCATTACTCCAAACAGTCCTGGCATGTCTGTGTGCATCAACCCTCATCCCCCCACCCCGCAGCCCAGGCCGTCACCAACCTGCTTTCTCTCTCTAAAGATCTGCCCTTTCTGGGCATTTCATGTAAACAGAATCATATAAGCACAAAACACAGGCTTCCGATCTGGTCTCTTTCACTTCGCATAACGTTTTAAGGTTCACCCACATGTAGCTAAGTGCTCATGTGACGTGGCACAGACGACGCGGTTTCTATAGGCTAGTCCTGTTCCCTGGAGGACACTGTGCCCGAGTCCCCTCTCTCCCCTCTGACATGTCAACCGGAAAGAACGAGAGCTGAGACTAGGAAACCTGGGTTCGAGGCTCTGGCTCGGCCACTTTCTCCCATTTAACTTCTTCCCCACAAACGTGCTTGGAAGTGATCAAGTTCAGTGATAGCCTTAATAAATTATTAATGTGCTAGAAATGCAAAGCCTGAAAGCATGAACTATTTGAAATGCCAAGATGCAATGACTAAGAAGGAGCTGTATTTAAGGATTTTCCTCCCCCTTCTTCCCTGCCTCAGGACACAAGAGGGCTGCTTTCCACCTGACTACTCGCCATGCACTCCCGCCAGCAACTCCTTTACTGCTCTCCTCCCAGAAGACAGAGATGAAGGATGGAGGCAGAAGCTCAGAGAAGGACACAGCTGTGCCTCGGGGCCTGGGGATGGTGGACCAGAGCAGACGCTCTCTACTGAGGCCCAGACCTGCACCCATTGCCCTGGGGCAAGGGGATCTTTCAGCCGAGTGAGGCTGGGTGAGGCGCCCAGGCGTCGGGGGAACAGGGAGAGGACGTCTGCCCACAGTTTCTCATGCGTCACCTGACATTCACGGAGCCCTCACTGCCCTCCGCCACTCCGTCCAATGATCACCGCGCCCCCAAAGCTACAAGTTCACAAATGTACACTTCCCAGAAAAAGATCTAATTTAATATAAAAAAAAGGACTTTAAAAGTTTGTTGTGTAAGGGATTAGGATTTGTTTTAATAGCTTTCAAGTGGATTGCGGTAAACTTCATCATAGGATCTCGTTATCTGAGGAAAACTGAAGCTATTCACCTCAATACACATATCACAAATACATAGCTTAGCTATGCTGTAATAAAGAGATTCTTTCTGGTCACTGGCCGGAGAAATGAACCAGGAGTTTCAGGTTTAGTCTATAGTTTAGTCTCAGTTTCCAGGTTTATACGATGGGGCCAGAGTTAGGCTACGATCACAAAAGAACACAGAGCACAGGCACCGACCGCAGCCCGGCAGGACCGACGCGGACACCTGGGTTTCATGGAAACAGCAGGAAACGGAGCTCAGTGGCGCTGCTCGGCGAGGGGCACCCCCAGTCCTGTCTTACCTCTGACCACCTTCCATCCCACCTTCTACTCAGGTCATCCTGCGGAGAGAGCACGTGAAGACGTCGGGGACTCCGCCGCAGCTCCTCGTCCCCGGCAGCGCCCGGGCCTCTCGCAGGGGCACCTGTGGCTGGGCCCGGGTGGGAAGGGACCGAGGCTAAGGGCACATCTTCAGGGTTACCTATTTGCCTTTCCAGGTCGGCGGCTTCATCAGGCGTGGCTCGCGGGAGGACGCCAGGGTCACTGAAGCTGGTGCGAAGCAGGGTCCCCATCACAAAGAAGAACAGGATGCCACCAACCACGGGAATGGCAGGCGTGATTTTCACTGCGAGGTACGGGCAGCTGCCAGCAGGTGGGAAGGCGGGGGTGGGGGGAGAGAAAGGAAAGATAAGGTCAGTAATCAGCAGTACACAGTCTAGATTTTCCAAGAAGCTAAAGGCTTCTTGGAGAAGCGAAATTGATTTCCATTAAAAATTCATCTATGCTCAGCATTTACATTTGGGGAGGCCTACCATTCTCTCCCGCAGACCGTGTAACCCTCCCTCCCCCGCCACAATCAGCCAGGCCCCCGGCTCCCACAGCGCCTCCAGCACAGACGCTGGCGGGAGAATGGGAACAGCCTGTGTCCGATCAACACCGGACGCACAGACACAGCCATGGGTCTGTGACCTTCCTCCCATCCCTGGAGACACCAGAATGAGCTGGCCTTTCCTCACTGGGTCACACAACCTGGGGCTCAAGATGCTGAGAAATGCAGATTCACCCTCAAAAGGCAAAAAAAGATTTTTTAATCAATATTTTTGGAGTTTAATGAGCTATGGAAATGAACTTGCAACCAGTCTCCAGAAAGAATGAAAGGGGGTTCGGTGGCTGGGATATGATAACCGCCTGCTCTTCAGGAAGGCTTGGAGCTACCATTGCTGAGCACGGCCAGCGCATTCTGGGAAGCCCTGCACTGTCCCCCAGCCCAGGAGCTGACGTGCAGCCAGGGCGGTGGTGGCCAGGGAAAGGGTCCTTGGACAGACTCAAGTCCAGGCCAGCAGGGCTCTGGGGCCAGGAGCCAGGGCAGCTGTACGCACCACGCCCTGGCCCACGGTCGCTGCCCCGAAGCCACAGAGGGCGAGAGAGGCCGAGTGAGAATTAGCTCAGTGCCTGAAGCTGAGTGAAGGACGGGGTCTGGGTAGCCGTGGCCATCTATTGTCACCGCGCTCGGTGCCATCACGGGGGCCGAGGCACACAGCACGCAATCACAGAGTTGTAACAGCCAGAGTGAAAAGCGCCTCCCCGAGGCTCCACCTCATCCGTGACTCTCTTCCAGGTACTGAAGGCGAAACTGGGGCTAGAGAAGGATGAGGAGGTGACTGGGCTCAGTCGTGGGGTGTTGGGGACTACCACCCCACGCCCGTGCAGTGCTTACATCACGGGGGCCGAGGCACACAGCACGCAATCACAGAGTTGTAACAGCCAGAGTGAAAAGCGCCTCCCCGAGGCTCCACCTCATCCGTGACTCTCTTCCAGGTACTGAAGGCGAAACTGGGGCTAGAGAAGGATGAGGAGGTGACTGGGCTCGGTCGTGGGGTGTTGGGGACTAGCACCCCACGCCCGTGCAGTGCTTACCGGGGGCTGGCAAGGTGCCTGATGGGATGGAAGGCGATGTCCAGGCCTCAAGGACCACAGGCCATGATCCCCTTTGCCAGGGCCAGACACTGGCGAGTTAGAGGCCAGGCCTTCAGGAGGATGGTGACGTGGACATAAGGGTGGTCACTGTGCAGTGCAGGCCCAAGGCCTCGCCTGAATCCCCTGCTCTATAGGAACCCAGAGGCGTCCCAACTACTCTAAGAAGGTGGACGGGGACCCCAAACACGACCAGGTGGGACTTCCTGCCAGGCAGGTGGCCTCCAAAAGAGTCATGTGATTCAGAGACAAAAATATATGACATTTCTAACATCTCTTCCTCTCTCCCACACCGACCACCTGCAGAAACTGAGCAAAACAAACAAACAACGTCATGTCACCTCATCCGGACTGCCGGTTGTGACTTCTCCTCACAGGATTCATGGGAAACCATAAAAAAACCA